CCCCCAAAAAAAATCAAGAATCTTCAGTTTTGCTTTTCTTTTTAGACAGTTATTAGTCCTTTGATTTTCGTATAAGCAATATCTATTAGCGAGTTAAGGTAATAAATCTCTATATCGAATATATAATAAGTAATAGTAGAACACAAAGTACGTGTAAATTGGTAAAAAAAAGTTTGACGTACTATTTGAGCCATATCACGTAGGATTATATTTTACTTTCTTAACATATGGCAATGTGAGACAACTATCACATATTTTTTAGAGATTTTTATGTTTGACGAGTTAAAGACTCATTTTATTGCTGGAAAGCGTGTCCAAGTATAACACGTTGATGAAGATTAAGGATTTTACATGTTAATTGGGTGCAGAAGGATTATTAAAAAATAAGCGTTCCCTCAAAAATAAAATTGAACAAGAAAACCTTGATTATAATTGTTATGGAAAATAAATTTACCTCCAATTATACGAGACGTATTTGGTTAAAAACTTATGGCTATACAATCTTCACTTCATTGAGAAAAAGAAGAAGAAATAAAGGCTAATTCATCAACTAAATTTAAGTGTTCATTTTTACGTTTACATCAAAGAGTATTGTTTGGTAGTTGAACATTTTTAGGAAGCTTTAGTTGTGAAATAACCAAACGCTATGAAAGTTTAAGTAGATAATGTTTAATATTATCGCAGGAAAGTTAAATTAATTCCATCTTCATTCTTTTCTATAGTTTATAATTAGTACTATACGCAAAGTACCATTGAGTCATTGACTATACTGGTAGTCTTTCCATTTAAATAGTTAGAGAAAATGACCACTAAAAGAAAACTAAATTAAAAAGGCCAAATACCTAGATAACCCCTTAAATTTGGCTTCGATTTCCATTTTAACACATTAACTAAAGTTTGTACCTATTAAACACTTCAACGTCATATAAATTATGCCTATTGAACACGTCTGATGATGTGGCAAAAAGAGTGTGCCTCACCTCTCTTTAGACGCGTGAAGTAATAACAAAATCATATATTTTTTTTCTTTTGTTCTATTTAAGAAAAGTATAGTTTTGCATTCTTCTTCCTCCTCCTCTCCGAGCCACCATCTCCATCATCATTTCCTCACACCGACCAAAAAACTCCTTCACGCCACGAAAATATTGTGAAATTCAGCAGCGAAGGCTACAGATTAAATGCCCATTTCAGTAGTTTTAATGAAAAAAATAAAGTGCACCGTGAAATTCATTAGTTAAATTATGAGCAGATGGCCTGAGACAGTCAAAATGAACTGTACCGTGAAACCCGAGACAGCAGATATAATAGTGGTGGTGGCAGCTGCAGTCGCCTCTTGACGGTGGCGTTTTTTTGGCTCGAGCTTTGCGGCTTCTTTTTTGGAGAAATTTTACCTTAGTTGACGTCTTCTTCCTCTTGAGATTCGTTCAATAGATTGGATCTCGGATTCTTCAAACGCCATGTTTGAACGCTTGGAAGTTTCTTTTAGATTGAAGTTTTAGGAATATGAGATTAACAATATGATCATTTTGCTTCTCGGTTTAACTGGAGAAGATAGTGTCCATGGCGGCTATTGGTGTGAGGCAATAGAACCGGTGGGAAAATGCAGAGAAGACGATGAAATTGTTGGGGAAATTTACATATAAAATAATTTTTTTTTGTTTTCAAAACTTCTTTTTGACTATTTGGGCCCAAATGCCACGTGTCTCCCTCTTATTTGTCATTTTTGCTAAGTCATTCATGTGTGAATTACACGCACCTTATTGTTTTTACTGGTTATGAGTAAAGTGTTCAATAGATCACTTTATATAATATTAAATTGTTCAATAGGAAATGCGCTAAGTTAAAGTGTCAAAATGAAAACTGGAGCCAAGTTTAAGGGGCCGTACACCTATTTGGCCAATTAAAAATAAAGAAAACAAAAAGGATAATTAGGCAAAAACAAAAATAGAAAACAAAATGGATGACGTGTCACCATACACAAAACTCGCGGGTGTTCAACCAAAAATCTTACCTTCAAAAATTAAAGTAAAGAAATAAAAAAAAAAGGAAAAAAATATTTTATCTCTTTTAATTTATATGATTATGATTATGATTATATATACTTAATCTGTCATTGAGAAAAAAATATAATAACCTATCACAAAAAATAATATCTTCTTACCTTCAGAGATAATTTAATTATAACTTTTTAAAATTTTATCACTAATAAGATAATTTATATTTTACACAAGTGCTTATGGCTTGATTTTAATTATAATTTTTTTAAAACTTATTTCTCGATTTAAGAAGGTCACATAAAATGGAATGAATTTTTTGTTTTTTTATTTGTTTAATAATTAAATACTCCAACATTTACGAAAAAACGAAAAACTCCTTACTCTTCTTCTCTCTCTCTCATTGCGTTCTTAATAAATTCACAGCTTCTCTTTCCCTATTCTCTCTCTCTTCGTTTCCAATCGATTTTTCCTATTTTCGCTTTTCGTTTTTTTGTCTTTATAATTTTCACATAACTTATATGATAACAATTTACATGTTAGGGTTTTGATTCCCACACTTTTGGCGGATTAAGGAACCACGATTCAAAGGTAATTTATATTTTTGAATTTTTTTGTGAGGTTAATCCTCAATTTTATGACTTACAAATTATCCACAATTTTTTGTCACTGCTGCCTCGGTGAATTTTCCTAGATCTTAATGCATATTTTTGATTATTTTGGTTATACGTTTCATATAATTGATATTAATTTTTTGTATTGATGAACATGTTTTTTTTGCTTTTCTGAATTTTGTGGTGCTGACATGTGTAATTTGATCAGGTTTGTGATATGTATAGAACGATTGATTTGGTAGTGTTGAAAAGGCAGTGCAATTTTATGAATTTGATGAGATTTGTTATGGAATTAGGTTTAGGGTTGGTTTTAGGGTCAGGTTTGTGGGGGACAATGGTTTGATGTTATGCATTAGGTTGTTTTTTGCCATATTGGAACATTTTGTGTGGTGAAATGTGTTTTTAGGGTGTTAGAGTTGGGATAAAGTGGGTTTTGAAGATGGAGGATATTCAGCAGCAAATGCAGCAGAAGTCAGAAAGCACAGGGGATGATGTGCGCTCCGAGTTTGAGAGGGGATTGGAGGAGTTGATGTGTGGACACTTGGACGAGTGTATGTCTTATGCTTCGTGTAGTTCGGTGCGTAATACTGAGGATGAGGATGAAGAGTCTGATCAGCTTGTAAGGAGGAGGAGGAGGTCCGACCTTGAAGGCGATGACCTGGCAGAGTCTTCTGCTGCTAGGAGGCGCCACTCGAGGATTTTGAGCAGATGGGCAGCAAGACAGGCTCAAGAGATGATTACTACCATTGAGAGGAGGAATCGTGAGTCTGAGTTGATGGCACTTGCTGGTTTGCACACTGTTTCGATGCTTGATTCGTCTTTCTTGAGGGAATCACAATCTCCGACCTCAAGGCGTCAGGGTGATTCTGAGAGAGTAAGCACGAGGGCTTCTACTATTTTGCAGATGTGGCGGGAATTGGAGGATGAACATGTGTTGAATCGTGCCCGTGAGAGGGTGCGGGAAAGGTTGACACAACGAAGGAGCATGGATTCTAATACCAATGTTTCTACTGCGAATATGTCAGAAAGCCGGGAAAGTGATAACCAAGGTAGTTTGGTGGATGCTAGTGAGAGTGAGAATGAGTATGGTACTTGGTCTCATGACCCGATTGGACCGCAGAATGATCATAGGGACCGTGATAACTCCAGCCGTGAACAGTCTCCTGATCTAGGTGAAGTTGAGAGGGAGAGGGTGAGGCAAATTGTTCGTGGATGGATGGAGAGTGGGATCAGTGACCATTCATCTAATGTCTCTCAGAGAAACGGTGGTCCAAGAGGGGAATGGCTGGGTGAGACAGAGCGTGAAAGGGTGAGAATTGTGCGGGAATGGGTTCAAATGACTAGTCAACAAAGAGGAGCTCGTGGTGGCCAAAGGGAAGAACAGTCTACTGGGCTTAGTTCTCAAGTAGATCGTGTTCGTGAAGGGTCTGTTGTTGACCATGAGGATGCCCAACCAGAGCACATTCGTAGGGATATGTTGAGGCTGCGTGGGAGGCAGGCTCTCCTTGATTTGCTTGTGAGGATTGAAAGGGAAAGGCAGAGGGAACTTCAGGGTTTACTAGAGCATCGTGCGGTGTCTGATTTTGCCCATCGCAATCGGATTCAGGTTGGTTGCTGATTTTATGCCTTTTATTCTTTCACCAGACCTTTGTTCATTCTGTTTTTTTTTGTGTGGCATTCTCAATAGAAATCATGATTAAATGCTCCGTGTACGTTTTGTGAGGTCGTGCTTTGGCTCTAAGTTTTATCTTTTTACATTTTATATCCTTCTACAGTCGCTACTCAGAGGAAGATTCTTGCATGAAAGGCCTCCTGTGGAAGAGAGACCACCTTCGATAGCAGCAAGTGAACTAGTTCAGCTAAGGCAACGTAACACTGTCTCTGGGCTGAGGTATGTGATGTAGTCAGCCTTGTGTTGCAGCCTAGTTAGTTTTGAATATTTAGATCTATTTGTCTTCTTGAAACGGTTCTGCTAATTAATTGGACTTCATTTTCATGCATTGTTGGTTTGACTAATACTGTAGTAGGTGTATTTAATGCTGTTGTGCAGTTGATTGATTGCCATGGCCAAACAACAATAGTCAAATCAATCTCTTCCTTGGCTACTGTGCTGTGTCTCTTCTAACTCAAATAATAACATTAATCTCTTAGTTATGATAAAGTCTTCTCCTAATCATCTCTCTCTTAGTTGTGAAAAAAAATCTGCTCGTAAGCATCTCCTCTCTAAGTTGTGAGAAAATCTTCTGATATACCAAAATCCCCTTACCATTATGATAGTGAAAACTTTGATTCGCTGAAAATGTGGAAGCTGGCAATTACTGTTGGATCTCAAAAATGCAATGTTTTCAGGCTATACTTAAAACTTCTAATCGTCTGAGGCTTCTCGATACCTGTGCTAATGATGGACAAGTGAAGCTGATCGCCAATTTTCTGCCCTGAGAAATGAATCTACAAGCATGAGAATTGTTATTTTAGTAGATCTGCGACTGAGGTGAACTCAGGCTAAGTTTAAACTGACAACTAGTTGGTATCGCATATAGGGATCCTTTACTTCCATTGTGTTTGTCAAAAATTGGTAAGCAAAGGATATAAAAGAAAATTGTTTCTGTTAAGCATCACTTGCATCACTTTGGGAGTTCTCTTCAAAGGTGCTCTAAAATAAAGATAATAATATTAGAAGAAGTTTCTGAAAAAATGGAATAAAATAAAAGAAAAAGTAGAAGAAGCCTTCCACTAGACTCCCACCAAAAGGAACTCTAAAATGTTTTACGGGTCTTAGCATGCGCGTAAGACTGAATATTATCCTGATTATACCGATGTTTAGTTATTATAACCATTACTATTACTGGTATTGGTGTTGTTGTTTGTGCATGTAGTGATGCTTGTGTAGTTGCCTTGTTCAGGCTTAGAGAAAATTATCCTCTCTGAAATAAGCTTTTGAAGGATTCTGATTGTTCTTTTCCACTTACGAGCATTTGTTTCATGCTTAGTTACATCTTTGCATGAGTTATTTTCTGTGGCAATTGATGATATTCAGTTTCTAGATACTGAGAGGGAATGTTTCTTGCTTCTTTCTCAACCCATTCATGCAACAGATCTTGATTTTCAGCTCTTTTCTCAGTTGAAAATTGATAATATTTGTCATTTTATAATTCATGAGTTGGTGATCTTTTTATCTCAACCAGGGAAGGATTTCGCTCCAGATTAGGAAACATTGTACGTGGTCAAGTAAGCAGCAATTCTGTATATTCATCTAACAGTAGGAACAGTGATTCTAGAAATAATCAGACTCATGCAAATCCTTCACAGGAAGTCCAGAATGAAAGTGGTGAACAAGTGCAATCTGGGGAGCTGGAGAGCAACGTTCATCAGTTGCCTGATCGCAGTGAGAATTCTGGTCAGAGTACGAGACAACAACTGTCTCCTCACCAAGGAAGGGATCGAGTGGAAGCTGTTGTTGAAGCTGAGGAAGGAACACAGGGTAATTTAGCATCTAATGATTCTAATGGATGGACTCATGAGACTACAGAAAATGTAAGCTGGAATTGGCAAGAAAATCCATCAACTGCTAGGTCCCTTGAAACAGCAGCATTTGTCGGGAGTGTAGAACATCGTTTTCCAGAAAACCAGGAGGTTTGGCGTGAGGATGCCTCACGAGAAGCTGCAGAGACTTGGTCGGAAGGACCTTCCGATCCTCCTAGAATGAGGCGTCCTGTCCCATTAAGGAGAATTAGTAGATTCCATCCACCTGATGACGATAATGTGTATAGCATGGAACTCAGAGAGCTTCTTAGCAGGTAAAATTTGATTCTTGATTGTGTTTTCCCTCTCCATGCTTACCTAGGCATACTTTTGGTCTGTTGTTTATTGGAAGTCTTTGTCTGGTAGGAGGAGTGTTTCCAACCTTCTTCGCAGTGGCTTCCGTGAGAGTTTAGACCAATTAATTCAGTCATATGTGGAAAGGCGAGGCCGCTCTCCTATTGATTGGGATCTGCATCGGAACTTGCCCATTCCTGCTTCATCGGAAAGGGGTCAGGACCAGCAGAATGATGAGCAAAATGATGATCAGCAGGATGGAGTTGGCAGGCCTTCACTTGTGCTACCCTCTCCTCCTGTGCCACCAACACAGCCACTTTGGCATCAGGATTTGCATCACCCCAGTTGGCCACGTCACACTGTGCATCGTTCTGAACTTGTAAGTCAACTGCTTCATCCTGCCTATCAGAAAAGCAAAAAGAGAATCTATTGCTCTTTCGGGGGTTTATCTTGCTTCCTTTTCGGCATCGACTCCGATATATATGATAATATTGATTTTGATATCTAATGCGTGTAATTAGTAATAAGACTTTGCTTTTAATACATACGGAAAAGGAAAAAGTACTCTGGGTATACTCTTTTTACCAACGGGTGATTGTGAAGCAAAATGTGCCAACATCTTTTATACTATCTTTTCTGTTCTCTTCATTTTACTAATTATTCAGAATTCAGCAATCTCTACGTACCAGTATTAAAAAGGATATCCTGTTTAAGTTTGGCGTTTGTTGCCAATGAGATAAATAGATGATATTCTGATTAAGCCAAGCAATTGATAATGGTTTCAAGTAATCAATTCTAATATATGAAGAAACTTAAACTTAGGCTGGGCGTACTCTTTAGCAACTGGTGATTGTGAAGAAAAATGTTCCAAGATCTTTTGTACTCCAATTCTCTTGATTTCCTATTTTTTTTTCAGAATTCTGGTAGTCTTGACCAGTATTAAAACAGAGAATGCATCTTGGTTGGTGTTTGTCGTGAATAAGAACAGTTATATTCTGTTTAAGTCACTGTTACCTTTCTCACTTATATTCTGTTTTAGCCAGGCAATTGGTAATTGTTTCAAATTTTAATGTGTTTAATGGCACAACTCTACATCTTTTATGTAAATACAAGAGTCATATGTTACTTTATTGTGAGCTTAATTTGTGCTGTTCTGGAGCAGGAGTGGGAAATGATAAATGAACTTAGAGCAGACATGGCAAGACTGCAGCAAGGCATGAACCACATGCAAAGAATGTTAGAATCTTGCATGGATATGCAACTGGAGCTTCAACGCTCTGTCAGGCAGGAAGTTTCAGCTGCTTTGAATCGATCAGCTGGTGAACAAGGTTTGTTCGTCACCTGTAGTTTTATGAAATGTTAATGCTGCTCCTGTGAATGTTGAAACTCTCCGAACCACCCTTTTTTACTGCGCCTCACACTATAGGTTTGTTCATCACCTATAGTGTTTGAAATGTTAATGCTGCTCTTAAGAATGTTAAACCTCTCCAAACACCGATCTTTTTAACTGTGTCACACTATTATTTCTTCTAACTGGGTTTGATTGTAAACCAGGGGTTGCGGAGACTTCAATTGATGGTTCTAAGTGGGGCCACGTGAAAAAGGGTACTTGCTGTGTTTGTTGTGATAGTCACATCGATTCCCTGTTGTACAGGTAAAACTCATATTGCGGAATCTAATGAATCTTGCAAACAAATGTCCAGAATATGCAGGATTGAGTGTTTTGTTTTGGGATTTGACTTATACCATCACTATTAGTGTATCTTGACCTGTTGTTGCAGGTAACTAGCCTTATATTTTAAAGAATTGATCGTTTGTTTCCTGCATTGGCAGATGTGGGCACATGTGCACTTGTTCAAAATGTGCAAATGAATTGGTGAGAAGTGGAGGGAAGTGTCCGTTGTGCCGTGCACCCATCGTCGAGGTGATCCGAGCCTACTCGATACTGTAAAAAACGAAGCGATAGGAGGGTAAAGACAGAAGTTGGTAAGGTGTAAGAGGAGTTGTATGCTCCCTCTACCAAGCTTCTCAGATTCTTATCTGTAGAGTGTTTATTACTTTTGCCTATGTTCTTCTGATTATATATATGAAATGCTATGCAATGTGTAATTGGAAAAACGGAAGGCACTTTTTTTGCATCATTCATTCGTAAATAAAAATGTTCATTCTTTTGCAATTTTTTTGATTCTTTTTATTTTCCATCGTTTTCTAGAAGAAAAGAGTACTCATATTTGTTTCATTTTTGGTTTAAATTACCCATTTGTGTCATTTCATGGCACACAATTTGATTGGACGCAGAGTTAAATTACGTAAAAATAGCACGGGCTAGCCAGTTTTCGGACTGCTCATTCAAAAATAGCCAGCGTTTGCCAAGTCATTGAAAAATAGTCACTATTTTGCTGCAACAGAGACCGGTCCGGCATAATATACCGGGGTTCGGTGCACCTGTGTATGAACTTTCAGCATGTTATGTTGGAACTCCAATACGCGGAAAGTTCCAGCATAATATACTGGAGATTCGAGCACCTGTGTATGAACTTCCAGCATATTATACTGGACCGGTATACTTTGCTGGAACTCTATTATATTATGCTGGCTGGAACTCTATTATATTATGCTGGAACTCCATTATATTACGGCAAAGGGCCAAATATACCCTCTACTTTCGAAAATGGTCTAAGAATACCCCTCGTTATACTATTGGGTTATCTATACCCC